TGCTGTCACTTCTTATCAGACCAGAATGCTTGAAGTAGTATGTATGCACGGCTGGACTGTTTGCTCTGTGTGTTGACCATAGAGATTCACTTTCTTTTCCTGTCCCTAAGATTAGGTCCAATCCCTGTCCTCCTTACACATTATCACTTACCTTGTATGCAATATGAGTTTGGCAGCGAGCAGTGAAGTTCGCTTCACTGTATTACGCTGTACAATGATGATGGTGATGATGATGGTACGATCGAAAATACGTAGGCTTTTACCGTATTATCTTACGGTGCATGGGGCATCTATATGCACTGATTAAGTGCTCCGGATATACTTGCTTAGGAAAGCGATGTCGTAGGGAAAACAGTAAAAAAACAGGTTCGTTAGCGGCGATTCATCCACCGGCGAATACCTCATTCTGTACCATAATGTTTTTTAGTAAAAGTCCATTATAGAATGTCGAACGACTTAGAAGAACGTCCATGATCTGTTCATTCTCTTCTTTCATTAGAACTTCACATCTGAATGTTAATAAAAATAATAAATTTGTTATCTCCTTTTGTATCCATTGAGTGTACTAGTGTACAGCCAACTTTCAGGAGGATGCGGCGACCATACAAAGGCTGCCTGGGAAATTACAGAAACGGGTAATTTCAGTTTGAACAACCCTTAAGCGTGCACTTCTGTGCGTCGCTTTTGGTTGCTGTCTTTCGACTGCCCATTTTGGTGAACAATGGGAGGAAAACAGGGACGTTAAAAGTAGGATCGAAGAGAAAATTGAGAAGTTCATTGGACTAATGATGCAAAGAAATTGAGAGGATACGCGAACGTCACTGTTTACGACACCTACCCATATCACTCAGTGTCTCTAACCATCAGTTACAATCATCCCGAGGTCCCCAGCCAGGGAACACAACAGGACCCATGTGACCCAGACTCCTAGTTTCATACCTTCATGCCAGGTCTTAGCTTGACCACCCTTGGCTTTACTCCAGCCAATACCTGCCTCGGCAAACATCGCTCGCCGTGGCAACCTATCTGGTGACATGCGTAACACATGCCCCAACCAACGTAATCTATGGAGGTCGACCGCGGTTGCCTAAAACTTTGCGCCTAACCTCATAATTGCTCGTCCGGCTGCCCCGCCAGACTCGTGCAATACTGTGTAGACAACGGTGTTCAAACACCGACAGTCTAGCTTTATCCTGTTTTCTTAATGGTCAATCTTCTGCGCCGTATAGCAGAATTGGTCGAACTGCCGTAGCATGCACTCGACCCTTCACAGACAGCCGGATGTCGCGACGGCGGCATACGCGCACAATTGAAATCATCATTCTTTTCGCGCAATCTAGAGATGCCATACTCGACTGACTTGAGCAAATTGATCTTTATCATTATTAGTACGAACGTCATTTTCGTGTGATTTGGAGGTGTCTATGGTGCATTAAAACAAACATGCTCTCAACCCACTGTTGAAGATAGCAGTTGCTCAGACGTCATCAGTGAGACTATACCAGGAAGCCGGAGTAATTTGCACCTACATACTTTTATATATGAGGATTTTACACTCTGATCCTCACCGACTGTATGGTCACCAAGACACCTTGGCAAAATCGAAGATCACTGGAATCCCGTTGTAAATAGGTCTGCTAGACCAGAACATCGGTCGATAAGCGATATCCTTCATTGCGTCGTTCATTCATCCGTGGTTATTTCCACGACTTAAATTCTTGGTCAACTAAAGAAATTAGGCTAACGGGACAACTGTCCGGTCCCGGTCAATCGTTGTATTCGGATGTTGCACTGTTCAGCCAAGTCCTGCTGTTTATTTGAATTGTTCTTTAACTAAACTAACAACGAATTCTAGGCAAAGATGTAGCAAATAATAAAGTTGTACGCATTAGGACTTTGAGGTAATGCATCAATGCTATACTTCCAAACACTAACGTCTCTAGTTTTATTGTTCCTCATCATTGTTTGATGGAAGATGGAAGGAAGGGATAGACTCCTCTGTTCATTCTTGTTAACTAGCAACCCTAAACGTGAAAGGTGGATTGCAAATCCTACGAGGGTAGGATAGACGTATTAAGCATAATAATACGTGCATGACAGTTCACTGATCAAGGTTCTGATATATTGCACATTGGGTCATTGCGTAACCACTGTTGATGTTCACCCAGTCACTGTAAAATATTTCGCGCCGAGAAAGTTTTATTCGTACCATACTTCATATTTCTATCCGAGCCTATGTACTTGCATCGGTACGTGATCGTGATCGTGTTCATCCAGTACTGCGCTGGTCCGTAACCACCAGTCTTCGTCTAACCTAACGACCGTATCTGTGTTCCATGCTCCAACTCGACTGTTGCACCATAGAGGTTTTAATTTGGCAGACACTGGACAAACTGTGCGTAACGCTACATTATCCGAGTTCTATTCTCAAGGAAAAATGTAGATATATATGCAGTCAATGAGTGGATGGAACATGAAATGGTTAAAACAGTAATTAAGACATCACGCTATTGAGATATCGCTAACAAAATGCAAGCATTCGTTCATCTGTGATATGATCAGGGTTAGAAAGAAATGCTGTATAGTGAAGCACTGCAAATCAACTTTCTGTTTACAAATATAGAGATTGTAAGAGTATCGATTCGTTGTATTATATTGCACGTGACTCCGGGGGAGATCTCATCATCGAGATGATGAATACTTTTGGCTTGACTTTCAGATGTCTGAGTCGTAAGGACCACTTACTCATAACCAACCAATAAAATTGAATGACCAGCTAAATCATCTAGTTGAGGTAGCCTAATGATTAGAATCTTTCTACCAGTTCTGTGTAAAAAAATCAGTTTTCCCTAAAATGGATAAGTAATCATACAGCCTATTGTTCCGGACAACATTTGAGACTGCTCAGCACTTAATCTCTTCCCCAACTATTCACAGGTATGACTTGGTCTTTCTGCTATCTGGCGGTGGTAAGTTCAACTTTATGGGTACCAAACGATGGTTGGACCAAAAAATTGAAGACACAACAGGTCTGGGTGAGTCTATACAGTGATTGCTTGGCTATTCTCAGTGATTTGCTTGAAGGGTATCTGCCAAGAATCTTCCCCATTTTCATTCTTACCCCGAACCGAACTTGAACCAGTTTGCTTGACCACGTTTGTTCAATTGAATTCCTCCCGCAGCGATGCTGGACGCAGTTACCCAGGTATTATGTTTGGAAGGGATCGGGACCGCACGATTTGGATCCGACCTGCACGTCCATCTCTCTCGTCCACCGAAAGATGGCTCCTTCTCACAACGATTAGTCAATTCATTGAAACTGGCTGCGCAACTCCATCCGTTTCCACTCAACGTAAGTGGTAATTTCCTCGTTTCATTGCTTACTATGAACTTCTTTAAATTTGCTTTTAAATTATTTTTTCTGACACGACGTCTCAGTTTTGTTTGCATTATATAGATCCACCATTTTATAGTTCTGCGATCGCATCCTACTTGACGCATGCAGATTTTCAATGTTTCAAATCTAACAATTTACGGAATTCACAGGCGCTCGCTTTGATGTATTGGAATGCTTCACATGTCTCAAAAAGCTTGGTTTATGTTGAATTGGCATCTGGGTAGCCGGATGTCTCTTGTGAATTGCTAATTTATGGCTATCTGTATTTTCTTATGAAAAAATCAATTAAATCACTCATGTCACCTGAACTATTGATTGAACACTTCTTCATGGCTTTGCGTGTCTCATTCATAGCCAATTACTTACGAGGCTTGATTTGACGTAGAGCCGTCGCTCCTCACCATAATACAAGGCTACTGAATTTCTCTCCAACCGTAACACCTCATTATTTCCAGCAGCGTAACTATTGACTGATTAACTATATTGTGCCGGATTCCACTGTCCCATTTACTCCATTATCTTCTAATTTAGAACCTCTGCAATTTGATTCACCGAAACCACTCGAGATGTCTTTCATTACATACTGTTCTGTTTTTCTTGTCTGTTTGAAATGCCTCATTTTTCCAACCGCTCTTGTATGCTCCCCCCTATCAGAATACGAGTACCGAAAGCTCATCCGTTCATGTCGTCCATAAAAAAATAAACCTCAATCAGGAGTTGTTAGGATGGGAGCACGAACGTTTCTCGATTCACCGATTGCCTGGTATGACTTTGTCCTCGTGGCCATCAGTGCAAGTGGCGAACCAATGGCGTCAGACGTCATTAGACGGTGGTCCCCTCAGTCATTTCACTGGCTCCGCCTCAAAGTCTTCACGCATGCGTGGCGCAGTCGATCCGGTTGTGCTTGCTAGAAACACGCGCGTTGTTGCTGAGGCTTTGGCACGTGTATTACTGGACTTGGATATGAATGAATCCGCCATGAATACATCCGCATTGATTGCTGAAGAGGTGAGTTGTGCATTTCGGATTGTCATACTATTAGTATATTTCTTAAGCAGCACTAGTCTTGTGATCTGAGTTGGTAACACGGCACTGTTTTGTGTTAATAAAATCATTGCCGTCATTCCGGTTTATTTACTAAACTCTGAATAAGTGACTGTCAACATTTAAAAAAATTTTATTACACATTTTTTGTGGTGAACAGCAGATGGGGCGAACCCCATAGTCACGAAAACCTACTGCTCCATCATGGAAACCAGTGACCTAAGCCCTGGGATTTGGAGTGGCGAACCACATAAGGACTCGCTAGGTTAGGCGTGGTATTAAACCGGACAACAGCAAAGCTGTCTACCACCAAAGTTGGGTGGCGGTGGCAGGGCTTGAACCTCGAACCATGGGGTCCAAAGCATGCCATTGACAGCGACCAAACCGGTGCACCACCAGAGGTCATAGCAATTGAACTCCAAAAGCCCCGGCTGTCAGCACAAAGATATATCATCTTAAGGGGCCCTTACGTGGCTCGCAACCCCAAGTCCTGGGGCTTAGGTTGCTGGTTTCCATCACTGAATAGCAGGTCTTCATGAATATAGGGTTCACTCCACCTGCTTTTCATCATACAAAATATGTGTATTAAATAATTCATCCAATCATCGAGATTACGCATGATGTGGTATGTATGTGTGTGGGGAGAGGGCGGGGAAGACCAGGGAAGCTTAATGGCCTGCATGGAGGGGGGTTGAGCAAACGAATTCCCACCGCCGTGATCTTTCTACATTTATTTTCCCAAGGCAGCTTTATTCCTGATTAGTGATGTGTATTGCAATGTATTGGTGCTAATATGAATAACTGGAAACGAGCTAGTTCGACACTGTCGTTTTGTTTGGAATACCTATACCTATTTTTGAGTGTCATACAGTTGCACTGGTGCATCTAGTTAGTGTTGTCCTTGCAATCTTAGTCTACACGAATCCTCTATTTTCCTCTTGGCACTGTTTGCAACATCCCAATCTTCCTTCTATTTCTTCATCCGAATGAGTAACCGAAAGACAGCAAGCAAGACCGTCGTGCGAAAGTGCATGACTAATGGCTGTTTGAACTGAAATTTGTTTGTAAGGTGTTTTTTTTTCTGAAATGAACATTAGCGCGAATACCTCAGTGAGTCTATGGTTGAACGGAGCTCGGTCACAGTTTTGTGTTCTCCATTCAAGTTTATTTTGAAAAATGCTCACTTTGAAATCACTGTCGTCAGCTCATCTTGCTAAGTGATTTACTCCTCCGTAAATTGGCCTCACAGCACTCATTAAGATTTTCCGGTTCACCACTTCGATATTTAGGATTTAGGCTTCTTTTCCCCGTTATTCCACGAAGGTTCGTTTTAACAAAGGCTGACTTGTGCTATATACAGTAATT